TCACCTTCTCCTGGAGTCTCAAAGACTAAACAGGGTCCGGCGTAGGCCGCTTTATCAAATGCAAGCCAAATCACCGCCTAACCTAGGCTTAAGTGACAGTGAACTTTGCGCGGGCACTACTGTACTATCTACCCTCACTCACCCATAGTAGGCGTGAAGGCAGGTCTCGTGTACGAGTAGCGTCTAGTACGGTTATGGTATGCATAATTTTCGGTTTATAAAAAATTAGCCAAGCTGCCCACAACCAGCTCGCATCGTTATATTAACGTGGAAAGAAAGAAGGATGCATACACACTGTAAACCAATTTAAGCACTAGTAGTCAGTGCAGTTTTGAGACAGTGAGGATACTTATTAAACAAGGCGGACGAACTATCCCAAAAGACGCAAAAGAGCAAGCAGGCTGTTTTGTAGAAGGGAAACGACACAACAATCTTGAAATATTCCTGGCAAATGGAACTTGACTGGATGTATGAAGTGAGAGACATTTACCACAGGTGGAAAATACAAATTTCGGAGCGAAATAATCGGTCGGCATAAAGAATCGAGGTGTAGTAATAAGAATACCTTTAACTGCGTAAAGCCTGTCAACGACTTATCCTGTCCATTCAAATAGCAACATGGACACCGATCACGCCCTCACATGGGTAAGTTGCTGAATGCTGTGCAAACATAGGTTCAATTAAATAACCAAAACAGGGGATCCACAGAAATACATTTTTAGCCAACGGTCGTCAAGCCATTAAACTTTGGAAAGAAAGCTCCTTTGGCTGCCGGCGAGTAGTGGCGTTATGATAGCGAAAGCAGAAAACCCGAAAGAAAGGAAAAATGCCACCAGACTTACACCGTCCTTTCCACCAGATACTGCCAGCTCGCCACGGATGGCTACGGCGGAGACGCCGGCATTGTGTTCTGTCGTGCAGACATACTCCCTGAACGCCCAGTCGCCCTGTGAAAGCGCGTCGTCATCGTAGAAGTAGAAAAAGCAGGTAGCATCTCCACCGCCGCTGACAGCAACACCCAGTCCAGCCGCCACCGACAACGTGCCACCTGCCTTGCCGCCACCGGCTGCTTGACGGCCGACAGCGTGCGACCAGAAAATGTTGTTGGCCATTGCCGTCGAATGCTGCCTCGGTGACGCCAGAGTGATCCGCTTCAGTGAATCGGCTGTAGAGAGGTTGTTCGATCCAGAGGGCAGGTTGGCTTTGAAGGGAGTGAACTTGAGAACAAAAGGAAAGGGAAGAAATTAAGTGGAGAATCTTAAATATACAAATACTGTCATCGTAAGTGTCAACCTTAAAGTTAACTTCAAAAATCCATGTGCATTTACTCTTTCACTTGCTCCTGTGGAGCAGGATACATTGGCCGAACAACGAGGGGCCTGGAAAAGAGGGTACGTGAGCACATACCAGCCTGGTTAAGTAAGTGTTAAACTAGATCGATCTCGAGTTCTATTCTCGCACATTTTGTCGATACGAAACATCGAGTCGATACTAACGAAGCCTTTCAGGTTGTCTACCGGACACCAG